GCTAAGAAAATTTTTCTTAGTGTTACTGATTTAAAAAAGACACAAATAAAACATTAACTTAAAAGGTCTATATATCAGACATTCAAAAGATAAAACTAATAAATACTTGAAAATAAAGAAAACAAATTTCTAGAAAAAATACAATTTACCAAACAAAACTAAGTAGAAAATTACCAAATAAAATCATATATACATAGATTTATATAACCACTGAGGAACTGAAACCAGTAAATTACATATTCTTCCATCCCTTCCTAAAACAAACAAGAATAAGAACAATGAAAGTTCACATAGCTTTACAGGCAATTTCACCATAATTCAAGGAGTCACACCTCCCCAAAACAAACAATGAAAACAAGAACAACAGCAAAATCCAACACAGTTTCATAAGAAATTCTACCATAGATAGAAGAACAGACAAAATTTCCTTTCCACAAAAAAAAAAAAAGAAGAAGAAAGAAAGAAGGAATGCTCCAATCTCATCTTTTAAGGCAAGTATGATCCTCATATCAAAACTAGGAATAATATGAGAAAGGAAAATATCCTTGGAGACCACAGATGTGAAAATCCTAAATAAAAATATCATTAAGGTAAACCCCCCATAATCTATAAAATGATACTGTCATGAGAGTTGATGCCAATAATGCAAGTTGTTTATCATTAAAAAAAAATTTACCAGTGTAATTTATTTCACTAACAGCTTAAGGATAAAAACTATAAAATCATCTTACTAGGCCAGGCACAGTGGCTCATAGCTATAATCCCAGCACTTAGGAAGGCTGAGGCAGGCAGATCATGAGGTCAGGAGTTTGAGACCAGCCTGACCAACATGGTGAAACACCATCTCTACTAAAAATACAAAAATTAGCTGGGTGGGTGGCATGTGCCTATATTCCCAGCTATTTGGGAGGGTGAGGCAGGAGAATCACTTGAACCCAGGAGGTGGCGGTTGTGGTGAGCCGAGATCGCGCCATTGCACTCCAGCCTTGGTAACAAAAGCAAAACTCCATCTCAAAAAGAAAAAAAAAAAAAAAAAAAGTTTAATCTTACTAGATTCGTGTAAAGCACTGAATAAACATAAACTAACCAAATGCCTCCTGAAAAGATAAGGCAACATATTATACAGTCAACCAAAAAATATAATATAGTAGTTAAAATTAATTTCAACTAGATACAACAAAGATAAAATTGTGAGTCTTGGATTTAAAAAGCAAATAAAAGGAAACAATTTAGTGCAATATCCCCTTTTTGTATACCCAGTGAAGAAGAGGCATACATTTTATAATTCTTTTTACAACATTATTGTAAGTATGATACCAAAAGTTTTAAACAATAAAACAATTGTTTTATTTAAGCAAGTAAGCAATTATTTAAGTATTAAACAATAATAAAATAAAATTATGATACTGACACTAGATTACGCAACAGAATTTTTTAAATTACATAAAAATTTTGGATTTGAGAAGAGTGGGGAAAAAACATTTGGAAAAATATTCAAATATATATTTGAATATATCTTACTTAAGTCCAAACAAATTCTAGAAGAAAAAATTAAATGAAAAGAAAATCAATACTGTGAAAAAATATTCAAATATTTATATGATCTTTTGGAGGCTCATGCCAAAAGAAGAAACCATAAAAGAGAACACCAATGGATTACATATGTAAAAATATGGAAGAGCAGGAAACGAATGAAAGCCATGGTTAATAGACAAACGGCAAACTAGAACACTAACTAGCATTATAGGAGGCAATTATAACCTTAATATCAAAGGAACCCTTCTAAATTAATAAAAAATAGACCAATACCCAATAGGTATCTAACAAAAGGATATACATAGTCAATTATAAAAAGAAATTTGAATTTTAATTGAATTAAATTGAAATATGAAAATCTGTTCAACATTAGAAGATCTCACAAAAACAACACAAATTTTATTAAAGTACTATTTTTTTCTCTAGCACTTTGCTATGATTTAAAATTATGCTAATATCCAATAGTAGAATGGATACAGGGAAATACATCTCATTCTTATGACATTATCAATGATGTATTTCTAGCAATCTGTTTTTCAACATGTATTAAAATTCGTAAAACCCCTTATACCTTTTGACTCAGCTTTTCCTCATCTAGAGATTTACAATCAGAAAACATCTGAGTGTATGTCAATTATATCTCAAAGAATTTGAACAAATTTGTTTTCAGTTAAATTAAAAAAATGAACAAGTGTTCAAGGTTGTATAAAGGTATTTTTTTGTTTTGTTTTGAGATAGAATCTTGATCTGTCGCCCAGGATGGAGTGCAGTGGCGTGATCTCGGCTCACTGCAACCTCCACCACCCAAGTTTAAGTGATTCTCCTGCCTTGGCCTCCAGAGTAACCGAGTACAGGTGCGTGTCACCATATCCAGCTAATTTTTTGTATTTGTAGTAGATATGGGGTTTTCCATGTTGGCCAGGCTGGTCTCAAACTGCTGGCCTCAAGTGATCCGCCTCGGCCTCCCAAAGTTCTGGGATTACAGCCACCGCGACTGGCCACATGTAGGTTTAAATTTACACATAAATTATGTCAGCAAGAAACTGGTAATGAGTACAGTCTAAAAATAACAAAATGATTAAATGAATTATGGTACAGTCATATATAGAACTTCATGTAACTGAAATTCAGATAAATATTTATAATCACAAAAACATCATTACACAATATTATTATATAAGAAGAAAATATTACAAAGTAATATGCAGAACATGCTCCCATTTTAAAAAATAACATTTAAGCCTGCAGGTGAGCTTAAAACGTTTTGAGAAGAGATACGCAGAAGATGCTGTAGAAAATCTCTTGATCATAGAATTATCCTTTTATTTTTGTTCAACTCTTCTACCTACTATTTCAACAATAAACATGGACTACTTGTACGATGAAAAAAGACGGTGAGGGTGAGGGGGGAGCAAGAGAGACACAGAACAGAAGGAGGTTTAAGAGGTAAGAAATATTATACCACTAAGAAATGTTCTTTGGCTAAGTCCATGGACTCAACTCATTGCCTCTGATAATTCCCTTTCCTGGAATTCCCTGAGTTTATGCGCATATGATTTTGACAGCATTACCGTGCACCCAATTTTCTTTCCTGGTTGTTTTACTTTTCGAAGTAACATTACCCCACCAGAGTTTTATAAATATTATGCTGTTTTTATATACTACAAAACTCTGAACACACAGACATTTCAAAATGTTGAATAAATTTAACTGAATAACCAAATCAATAGCCTAATTTAGTTTATACTCACAAGCTTAGCTAAATGAACAGATTTCCAGAAATGGACAGTACAGAATTTTCAAGATTAGTCAAGGAGGTGATTCTAGATAGAAGTGGTCCAGCAGGATCCAGAGAGTCTAATGTGACAGAGGAAGTGCTTGGCTGAGGTATGGATTCTTCTACCAATTAACTTTGGGAAAGTTATTTAAATCTATCAGATCTCAGTTTGGTCAATAAATTAAAGCTTCTTCTATACATATGATTCCTTAATATTCATGATTTTGCAATGGATGTTTAGTCTCTGCTATTTGCAGAAGTTGTATTTAGGAAATGGTAGAATTTAGCATGGACTACATAAAGTCCAGAAAGTTACCAATATTGTTCTCTTAAGACAAAAAAAAAAAAAAATGGGGCCAACCTGTTCTTTTACAAAACCTTACTATGTACATTTAGGACATTTTCATGTCAATAAAGTGAATAAAAATCTGTTGAATTAAGTGCACACAAACACACAAGTTTTTGTTACTATAAAAGAAATGTTACATTAGCTAATTTGGTAGGCATGATGCCTACAATGAAAGAATGGATTTGTATTTATATATGTTGTATAAAACACTGTACACTAAATTCTGGCTTTTAAAAGATGGTTTTGTATCTCATACAAATGCTTGTGTTCCATCATAATGTGGAGCTTAATTGCACATGCATGCTTATTCAAAAATATGCCCCCAACTTCTACCTCACTCAACATTTTTCAAGAGTAACTTAGGAATTTCCTAAGACATAACAAATTGTGTCTTCATGGGGGTTATTCAACGCAGAATTGAGCTAATGAAGTTTACAGCATGTTATATTTTTCCTGATAGTTTGGAATGACTGAAGCATATGAATAGAAAGGTTATAAGGGGTCATAGCTCTCCTTATCAAAATGCCCAGCCTTTTTACCTTAGAGAAAATAAAAATAAAAAGACATATCATGTTTTCACCTCAGTTTCTGGTGTGGATGTTGATTTGTTTAAGTGCCTTTTCAAATCCCAAAATATTCATATCTCAATGCTAAAATTAATGTTTAAACAAGAAGCCAGACCAATAGAAATAATGAACAGGTTACAGGCTCCAATGGAAAGCTTAGGTCTTTTTAAGAAATGTATCATTAGGATTTGTTTAAGATGTCATCTTAAATTAGCAAGGCCATTTCACTTCTTCAGTTGTTTTCTAATAAGAATCAATATTTATATGATACAATTAAAAACAGTTATTTTTAATGTATACAGTATAAACATGAGAAGCATCATACCCATTAAATATATCTTTATGTTAATATAGTTACATAGATATAGTGACATATTTATGTACAAGTTCTCTATATTCTTATTAAAATTAAGAGGAGGACATTAATCTTGTCCTTTACTCATTACTATTTCAAAAAGTAAAAATTAAAAACCCAGCCAGATGCTTTTTAATTTCAAAGTGTCCTTTTTATCTTTGTGAGCTAGCTAGATACATACTACAGAGCATTAGTAGTTCCTTTCCTGCCAAGTTATTTTTAGGGAGATTTAGCTTTACTGAGCTTTCTACCAAATGCAAAACATTAGATATCCTGAATTTTTCTCTGCTCTGTCCATCCTAGAGATGGAAGATTTCTTGCTTCAAACCTCAGTGCACACATGTAAACACAATTACTCAAAACAAGGCAACAAGTGAGAGGCAGGATTAAAATAAGAACTCAGGCAATCTGACTCACAATCCAGGATTCAACCCCCTAAAACTTGCTGTTTTCTTTGTCCTCTTTGCTGTGAACCAAGACACTTGTTCTGTAGCAGAGTGTTTCTGCTGCAAATCCAGTTGCTACTGCATTATGCAATGAAGTCAGAAGCCTGAGCTTGTGACATCAATATAGGTTGCTATGGTAACTCTTTCCATAAGTATTACAGGTTCAGTGTAGGCTCAAAAAAGGGGACTTCAGCAGAGTAGCAAAATAACTGGCATTATTTCAGCCTAAATTACAACAGTAAGTGGTGCAAAAATGTTTTATAATTTCTCCAATAAAGAAAATGTTTTATATGTTATGCTATTATTGAAAGTCATTTTTATAATATATTTTAAAATGAAAGTTCTCCAGTAGAAATATTAATGCTACTGACCTTCTCAGGCATTCATGTAATCCACAAAGAAGAGAATCTCACTATAACATAGCAAATTATTCCACATATTTAGTCATTCCATAAGTCAAGGAATTTTATGTATTATATATTATGATAAATTCCTAATAACATGATGTCATTCAAGTTTTCCATTACAAGAAATATAAAAAGATCTCACAAAGTTGCATATATAAAAGCAGTTTTAGATGAGAAGACTATTTTTAACAAAGCAATAGTAAAGATCACCTTTGATTGCACAGGTTCATTATTATTTTTCTAGAACATTTTTGCCATTTAAATAGTTAAATCTACCTTCCTGTGTAAGATATGTTTAAAAAGATTATTTGGCCTTCAAATTTTTTTAACCTGAATTTGAAGCACATAGCTGAATAATTACAAAGACTGAACTTCTTTGTTACACAGCTCCTTTGTTTTTATCATCTACCATTCTCAAGAGGAGGATCTTAGTTCAAGTCTGTAAACATGCTTAAGCTAGGTGTTGGGGTTGCAACATGTTGGATATTAGGTATAAGATGCATAAGACATAATCCCTTCTACGAAAAACTCACACATGTAGAGTTAAAAATTACAGCAATAGAAGTGCAAACAGCAATTTAAGAATATTTACTGAGTATCTGCCATGTGCCAGACACCACACTAAAGACTTCACATAGATTATCCGATGTAACCCTCACAACAATACAAGCAGGTACATGGGGACTATTATTCCCAAATGGGAATAATCTGTAAAATTACAGATAAGAAAACTGAAGCTCAGAGGGATAAAGTGACTTGGCTGAAGTCACACAGCTGGTTCAGAACACAGCTGGCATTTTAAGTCCAGATGATTATGATGTTTAAACAAAAATTAAAGATAATTCCCTGTTGTTCATTGTGACCAAAATTGAAAATTGCATCATCATTCTACTGAGCAAGAGTTCCTTTATGCAGAATTCACTGAAGCAGAAAGCAGGTGATAATCTTGTGGCTGACTTCATGAACACTTCTGATGACTAACTTTGCTGTTAGTGTAACATTCCGCAATTCAGAAAATATTTACCTGGAAACATTTCCTTCTTTATTGGTTACAAATGACAATATACAATGGGGAAAGGATAGACACTTCGATAAATGATTTTTACCTCACTGGATATCCACATACAAAAGAATGAAATTAAACCCATTATTTTTATATCATACACAAAAATCAACTAAAAATAATTTAAAGACCTAACCATAAGATGTGAAACTGTAAAATTCCTAGAAGATAAACATAAGGGAAAGTCTCCATGACATTGGTCTCAGCAATGATTATTTGGATTGAACACCCAAAGCACAGGCTATAAAAGCAAAAATAAACAAGTTTCTGCACAGCGAACAATCAACAGCATAAAACGGTAACCTACAGAATGGGAAAAAATATCTGCCAACCATACAGCTCATATGAGATTAACATCCAAAACATATAAGGAACTCATACAATTTAATAGCCTAAATCAAATAACCCAATTTAAAAATGGGCAAAGTAACTGAATCGACATTACTCCGAAAACATACAAATGACGGACAAGTATATGAAAAGATGCTTGACATCACTCATCATCAGGGAAATGCAAATCAGAACCACAATGAGATATTACCCCACACTTGTTATGGTGGCTGTTATCAAAAGTCAAAAGAAAAAAAATGTTGGCAAGGATGTAGAGAAATGGGAACACTTGGGCAATGTCTGTGGAGATGGTAAATTTGGTGTGAACATTATGGAAAACAACCATTATAGAAAATAGTATGGGAGTTTCCCTTAAAAATTAAAAATAGAACTACCCTATGATCCAGCAATCCTACTTCTGAGTATATATCCAAAGGAAATGAAATCAACATCTTAGAGATATCTGCAGCCCCATTTTCATTGCAGCATTATTTGCAACAGTGAATAATGAAAATAACATTAGCGTCTGTCAACATTTGAATAGATAAAAAATACAGTACATCTCTACAATGGAATATTTTTTAGCCTAAAAAAGTGTCATTCTATAGACTGTCATTTGCAAGAACAGGGATGAACCTGGAGGGTGTTATGCTAGGTCAAATAAGCCAGACACAGAAAGACAAATACTGCATGTTCTCATTTACATCTGGAATCTTAAAAGTCAAACTCACAGTAACAAAAAGTAGAATAATGGTTACCGGAGAGTTTGGGGGTGGCAGAAAATGGGAGATATTGGTCAAAGGATGCTAACTTTTAGCTATAAGATGAATAAGTACAAGGGTCTGCTCTACAACACGATTAGCATGGTTAATAACGTACTGTAAACTTGAAATTCGCTCAGAGAGTAGACTCAAAAGTTCTCGCCACAAAAAGAAAATGGTAACAATGTGCAGTTATGTATATGTTATGTGGATTGATTGTAACAATCATTTTTAAACGTATGCATATACAAAAACATCACAATATATACCCTAATAAATGCAATTTTTGTCAATCATATCTCAAAACTGGGGAAAATATTGGTTCTATAATTTTTCTTACAGAGTTGCTTTAACATTTTAATTTGATTCAAGCTACCATATCAGCTTCTGCTCAAATAAATATATTAATAATTTAATGTTTATACTGAATTGCTATTGACATATCAAACTAAACATTCATTCATTCATTCAGCAAATATTTATTGAGCCACTATTGTTTCAGATACCATGCTAAATGTTGGATATAAAACTATAGCAAATAGTGGAAACGGTCCTCAAATTAAAGAAGCATATAGTCTTTAATGAGAGAAAAACATTAATCAAATGATAGCATAAATAACTGTAAAATTACAGCAGTATCTAAACAGTAAAATTTCTGAAGTTCCTAATTCTGCTCCACACAATTCAACCTTTCATCCCAACTCAAAATCCACTGTCTCATCTTCCTCCTCCAGTCTAGACCTGGCTTCTGTCCATTCTTCCAAATTTGCTTCCTCTCCCATGTGTTTTCTCCCTGCCCTTCTCTTTGGCCCTAACCACATTTGAGCTCTCATTGCTTCATGCAATGAGGTGTTTCAAAGCTCCCGGCATGACTCCCTGCTTTGGCTTCTGCCTCAAAAATTCCTAGGGCAGATTACTGTAACACTACATCCTGAATCACCTAAGACAAGAGCTTGATCATATTGCAGGTCCCACTCCACCCCAATAAGTGTAGCCACTCTCCTTCCTTTAAACTTGAAATCTAACTCCTTAGCCTGACATTCCAAGCTTTTAAAAATCTGACCAGTCTTAACTGTTCAGTCTTGGGATCTATCACTCCTCTGCAGGTATCCCTTCCCAAGCCAAATGGATGGATCATTGGCCTCTAAGTAAGCATTTTGTTTTTCCATCTCTGCTTTTGTTTATTCTATGTCATCACTGAAACTCCTCATCCCTTTTCCACACCTCTCCTTCCCTTCCCTTTTAGAATTCTAAACACCCTTCTAAGTCCAGCATGAATTATTGATTGGAGAGTTGTTCTGTTCTATTTTTTGTTTGTTTGTGTGCATATGCTTTATCTCCTCTGCTAGACTGTGAACTCCTTAAGGGAACAGATTGTCTTCTGAATCTGCTGCAGTACTGCACATACATGGTATTTAGTAATATCTACTGATGTCCTATCCCAGGACAATGAAAGCCTATTTAGGTAGTTGTAAAACAAATATTTGAATCACTAATTGTGTGTAATTTCCTTTGGAAATTACAGATTCAGATCCTTCTGTTTGTTTCACTAAAAATCCATGTAACAAGAAAACATAGAATAAGATTTTGCTACTTGTCTACATAGAGAAAATAATTAATTTTATGTTTGCATGACTTTCAATAAAAACTTTCAAGCAAAGACAGTAACAAATAAAACTAATTATTTGTATTAGTTGCAACTCTTCCTGTTGCAAATGAGAGCAATCTAACTTACAATCAGCTTAGGCAAAAATGAAAGACAATTCATTGGCTCAGGTAATTGGGAAGTCCGTGGGTAGACTGGTTTCAGTCACAGCTGGATCCAGAGAATTCAATGGAAGTCTCACTCTCCTTTTTTCTGAGAGTTCACCTTATTGTCTATAGCTGCAGACAAGCCATTTGCTTATGAGAAAGACAAAGCCAGTAATAATTTCAATTTCTCTCTCTCTCTCTCTCTCTCTCTCTCTCATTTTCTCTCTCCCTACCTATACACTGAGAAATCTCAGGGAAGACATTCGAATCCTAAATGGATTATACACCTATCTGAGAAAAAGTCACTGTGCCAGAAATAAGGGCATCTGTGAATAACTCAGCCTGAGCATGAACCCATGCCTATGGCCCGGGTGGTAACCAGTTACCTTACTTGGCTGTGCCTCTAAATCCACATGAAATTGAGAAATGATAAAGACCAGTTGTTTTTTCAAAATAAAACAAAACAAATGACCAAAAAAAAAATATTTATATATATATATATATATATATATATATATATATATTTCTCCCTTTAAGTCTGGAAAATGCTTTGGGTCCTGAATCTTCTAGATTGACTTTAAATTCTGAAATATTAGCTCATACATTTATCCCCAAATATTTGTTTTGCACCTACTATGTGTCAGGCACTCTGTTAGGCACTGTGAGTGATACAAAGATTATTTGATTTGACTCCTGATAATTAGAAATGTACAAAGATAGAGAGTTCTGGTCCAAAATAGGATATGAAATGTGTCATAAAAGTGTTTGGAGCCAAAGATAGGGATTTAGGAATAAAACATAAAGAGGTGAAAATGTTAAGTGGTAGAAATAGATGAAACTGAAATTTTCAAGGTAAACAAAACAAAGAGAAAAGAGAAATAAAGACTGAGAACAGAAAAGAGAATTGAGAAAGACTCTCATATCCATATTCAAGTTGTAGTTCATAAAACACAAGTTCCTTAAGAGGAGAACTCACATCTTCTTTTAAACAATAAAAATAGTAAGACTAGAGGAATAAAATAACAGTAATAACACTGAATAACATTTATTGAGTGCTAAGTATGTGATAGGCATTGTACTAAGCTCTTTCAACAGATTATCCCATTTAATCCTCAAAACAATCCTATGA